ATAAAATGCATAGGTGGTAAAGCACCTCTAAAGTGTCTTTAAGTTCAACCAAGAAAGCACTTTCAGTAGCTGTTTCAAGGCAACCCTGCCTGCCTCGATCTTGCTCTGATTAAAACTCCTAATGTCACCAAAACGCTCCGTCTGAGTGGAGCATGTGATTAATGTGTATCACATGCAGAAAAGGGCAATGATGTGTTGCCCGGAATGTATGTCTAAGAGCCGTCATAGACAAATAATTAATAAGCTAAAAATAAAAATAAAAATAAAAACACTCAATAAATTGAATTCAAGAGAGAGTTTTTGCCCTGAGAGGACACCTGATAGAATACTTAGTCGAGTCCATTTGTCATATTTTAAGATTAACTGCGGACATTTTATGCTGATGTTTTTGGTTTTGCGCACACTTTCCGCGCAGTCCTGACACGAAAATCGTTCGACTTTCCCTCCTGATCAGTCATCAAACCAACTTAGTGAAAATTAGTCGACTAAGTGCCTTCATTTGTAAGACTTAGAGGGAAAATATCGATCTCAACGTCTGAGGCTTTGGAAGCGTTACAGTGCGTATGTCTTGATGCATGCCCAATCATCCAGGTAAGGAAATCTCAAAAAGTTGATTCTGTTCATCTGGACGTAGTTGTCAGTGGGAGAAGCCTTCAATCACTCATCCAAGTGATTTCTTCAGTCTCGGGAAGTTCGCATAATTTCACAAGTTTGTGGGTTTTTTCTCTCGCTCTTTCTATCCCTCTCGGGTCCTGGGACCACTTCAGCGCGACTCTTGTTACAAAATCACGCTTTTTACTTTATATGGTTACACGAGGACAAATGACCAGATGTAGACTCATCTGAAGAATACATGATAAACGTCAGTGGTATATGATCACTACACAGTGATCGGTGTAGTAGATATACAAATATACAAAACAAAACAAGGTGCGAAGTATTATAATAATAATAACGATAATTGGCTTAAAACAGGTGTATAATGTAATTTGTTCATTCTTTGTTTTCGCAGAATATGTTTAGATGAATATGGACACATTCCCCTGTGGCACACTATATGTAACTTTAACTGATTGGTTTGAGTGTTTGCTATTTGTAATAACAGAAAGCATAAATATATTCAAAGAGAAACCCCCAAATTAAGACCAAACAAAAAAGACATAAAACTGAGCTGAAACTAGAACAAAATACAAAGAACAAATATTAATGAATACCATAAGCATGAAACAATAACAGAAACAAATAAATATTTCCTTGCAATTGACTTGACTTTCTTTGACTTACTGTTCTTTTTTGAAAGCAAGAGTAACTAGCTTTGGCACACAATCTAAGCACCATTAATAGAATGCGATGCAGACATTTGTGAATATGAATGAATACCATGCACATGAAGCAATAACAGAAATGACAAGCAAGACAAGTAAAGGATGACAGACATCGAGAAGACTGAAAGAGACAACATCACATGAAAAACATATAAGAAAGTCGTTAGGAATGGGATTTTGGAAGGGATTTTAATAAAGTCACCGATTCTGTGAGCCTTGTCTTATTGGGCAGAGCTAAGGGTTCATGTTGGCAAAAACAGGACTTAGATTTACGCTTCACAGTTGGACTGTGAAAGGGTTCATATGGGGGTCAACATTTTACCTATGAAGCTTGGAGACTCATTCAAATGTGCTTTAAAAGTGCTCAGTAAACTCTTAAGTGTTTTTATTAAAATAAATTGAGTTAAGAAACATTTGTGCCATCCAACAGCTTACATCAGCGAGCCCTTTTCACTCACCTGCTGTCATCTGTACAGCAATGAAAAGAGATGTTGTGACTTTGTCTAATTTGCCCAGTGGAAACATATACATAGAGGGGGACCTAGAAATGAACTTTGTGGGACACCATAGGTAAGCTGCTGCTGGTGAATAGTTATCCTAAGGTGAGCCAGCAGTTTGTTTCTATAAACCAGCTAACTCCAGTATCCTCAATGCCAACCTGGTATTCAGAATGACTTATCTACCATGTCAAAGGCTGCATTTATGCCTTAAAGAATCAAAATTACACCCTTTTCCCTATCATCTGCTAAAAGGACATCAGTGGTTAACCTGGGGACTAAATAGTTTGAATAGTTTCTGTGTTCTAAAGCCTGACTGATATATCACATATTCTATTATAATACATTAAAGTGAATATGAGCTGGATAGGATACACCACTTTTCCAAAATTTTTGCAACATTAAAAAACTAAACTTAAATAATTAAGAATAGATCTATTGAGGCTTGGTTTCTTTTATAAACATCAGCCACTTTGAGGAATTTCACCTTTGAGGTTGTAGCTAATCCCAAACCAATTATAATCTTGTGGCTCTAAGTAGGATTTGGATATAATCCCTCATCTTTTTCGGTTCATTACAAAGACCTGAAAACAGAAAATAACCTAATTATAAGACATACTTCAACAAGCAATCAGCTCACTTTACAGGCTATCCCATTTCACATTGTTCAGGGTTGGGGTGCAGTGGTTAGCACTGTCACCTCAAAGCAAGAAGGTGCTGGGTTTGAACTGCCTGGTTAGCTGGGGACTTTCCTTGTGCTGTTTGCATATTCTGCTTCTGCCTTTGTGTATCATCGCACAATTAAAAGACATCCTTGGAGTGCTTGGTAAATAAATTGGTGATTTAAGCTGACTGTCGGTTTAGATTTAAGAGTGTAATAATCTGTCTATCTCTGTAAATCAGCAATCAGTCCCGATTACTTTCACACAGTTAGCTGAGTTGGGATGACATGCTTGTTACCTGATAGTGTTAGTCTAATCGGACTATTCATTTGTTTTAAGCATTGCCACATTGTGGTCATGTTTAAAAATGTATCTATTAGTACAAACCCCTTTGAGATATCTCATTTTCATGGCAATCCAAGCACATACAGTTGTTCAACTACCATAGCAACTACTTAAGAGATGACAGAATAAATAATAAACTTTCATTCATTAGTAATCTAGCATAGAGACAGACATCAGGAAATCCATAACAAAAGCTAGCCAAAGTTTCCAACAATAAATAAACAGTATGGTGTGATGATCACCAAATATAATTGCATATAATCCGCAGGTATAAAAATAAGATATAAGCAGAAAGAGCAAGCAAAACTGACATCTGTGTTGATAGAAGGCGCTCTCAATCTTTCTCAAATTAGATTCATTCTTAAACATGCAGATAATGAAACAAAGTTTTCATGGGACTCTGTGAAAAAGAGTCCCATAAAAGCACACCCTATCATTCAGTAGCTTGTAGAACCACCTTTAGCAGCAATAACGTGAAGTAATTGCTTTCTGAATGACTCTCTGTCTTTCAAATCATTGTGAAGGAATTTTGCCCCCCTCTCCATTACAGCGTTGCTTCAGTTCACTGAAGTTTGCAGGCATTCATTTATGCACAGCTCTCTTAAGGTTCCTCCTACAAGCATTTCAATTGGGTTAGGGTTTGGACTTTGGCTCAAGCATAGCAACACCTTAATTCTTTTCTTTCTCAGCCATTCTGCTGTAGATTTGCTGGTGTGCTTTGCTGCAAGGTGCCCAAGCCCTGTAGTTGGAAAAAACCCCAAAAACAAATAGTCACCCCTCCACCATCATGCTCGACAGTTTGTATAATGTGTTTGTGCTGATATGTTGTGTTGTGTGGCTGCATCTCTTTAAAGGACCTTATTCCAGAAGACTTGTTTGTTGCAAACCTGGAATTATATCAAAATTATCCCACTTTTCTATGGCATAAAATAGCCTGTGTAGTTACAAAATGATTCTGTATTGTCTAAGAGGCTTTAGGCCTTAAACTCTCATAAATAACAAATCCCTAAATTTACCCTAATAAAGAACTTTCAGGCATGGTTGGCAATCTGCAAGAATCTCGAAAGTGTTGCCTGGAAAGCAAACCTCAGGGCAGAAAACCCAACTCGCGCTAGTTCGCTCTTCTTCTACTACGTCACTTCCTCCCTCCTCTCTCGCTTCCATCTTGCTCCCCGCATGTGTTTGCTGTTAGTTTACAGGTCAGTCAGGAGCTTTAAATACCTTCTTCTCTCCTCTTTTTTCCACTGATCTGACGGCAAGAGGTAAACGAAAGCCTTTTCTGACTAGATGGCTGAAATCTGCCGCGGTGTGAAGCTAACCGTACTGACGGGGTTGTGAGAGGCTGTGACTGACAGGCCGATAATTTCCCCAGTTAGCTTAGAAGCTAGCAGAAGTTAGCCTGCAAGTTCTGGCACAAAAGCTAAACCACACCTCATTTCGGTTCAGTGTTCATCAGCTAAACCAGACCTGCTGTTAGCGGTGGTGCTTTCGCCTCAATTTATTTGAGCAACAATAACTTAATATTGGTCTACCTTCGGTAGTTCACACTACAGGGAAAAGGCGTTTGCTAATTAACCTGTGAAACGAGCAGCGCTTGCTGTGACGCTCACGGCTCCTTTCTGGCTTTTTAAAATGTCTGCTTGCTGTTTTTAATATCTTATTTTACCGCCCATTACCACAGCCACACCCGCCTTACTTTTGTTTGTTTGTTTTCATCTAATTTCCTCACAGGCATATCTTGCCCAGCACTGTTGTTGTGAATTTTCGCGGCACACAGTATGTTGTTTTTTTTTGTGAGTCATTAGCCAAATTGTATAGTGGGGGAAAAAAACGAAGTTATGGTTAGAGCTAATTGGTCACGTGGTTAATTAGAGGCCATCAGCAGGTGTGAACGTAATCAACAGAACCCGTATTCAATGACAGTTTCTTAATACGCAAATTTGTGCTTTTTAAACACAAATGGATGCGTGTACGCAGCTCGGTTTATTAAACATTTAAGTTTACAAAGGCATACGAAAAACAAACAAAACAGAGAAAATAGCTGGAAATGCCAGAGTGGCCTTATTAAATGAAAAATAAGAACAAATACAAACCAAATATTTTGTTTTGTAGATTATTTAGAATAACACCACTGTGTGTGTGTTTGACCTCCTGTAATTCACGTGGTCACATACACAGGAGTTTGTAAGTCAGGGTTGCCAAACTCCAGGCCTCGCTGTCCTGGAGGTTTTATATATCACTCTGGGTCAACACACCTGAATTAGTTCATTACCAGGCCTGTGGAGAACTTTAAGACATGTTGAGGAGGTAATCTGGCCGTTTAGATCAGCTGTTTTGGATCATGGACGCATCCAAAACCTCCAGGACACCAGCCCTCAAGGCCTGGAGTTCGACACCCCTGTTGTAAGTGCTTGGCTAGCTTTTGTCATGTAGGTAAGACGGCCTCTGATCAACACATGGAAGGACCAAAAATACAGTCTGTGTGAGCCAGTCAGTGACTGCACTAGCTAGAGTTAATTTCTAAACAGCAGACTGGGAAGTGACTGTATTTTGCCAGCTGGCTTTTATTAAATCTGGTCAAATGTTAAGACAAAAATGTTTCAAGTCGGTGTCCAGCCAGATAACGCTCTGCCTTAATAATGGGGCAAACCATTATTAATCTTTTTACTGGTGTAGATGAGTATAAAGGTGACATTTTAACTGCACTGCTCTCAGGGTGCTGCTTTCTTATCTGCATGTTGCACTTTATTTTGATGCCTCCTTTGGGGTGGATTAACTTGTTTTGCTTACTTAGTTTTCAGATAATTACATTTACATACTGACATAATAATATGCAACTTTCCTGCCTTTCAGATGAAAGAAGCAATAATGAATCAAGAAAAACTTGCAAAGTTACAAGCGCAAGTCCGCATCGGTGGAAAGGTAATGCACGCAAAGCGGATCTAGCATCACATGAAAATGGGTAGATTTTTTTATTGCAAAGCATTTTCTGAGTGTAAATCTGCTGCTGTCTTTTTTTTCCCTTTAAATGTGAATCTAGGGACATGAAACCTGAGCTCAAGCAGCTGAATTTTCTATAGTTCGTTTCTATGACAACCAACAGTTTGATCTATAGTTTTGTTGCATGGCAGCAGTAATTTTAGGCAGCGTTGCGTACAGTATATAAATAGAATAAAAACATCCTCCCTCATTTGGTCATAAAACATCACTCAGGTTATGTTGACTAAGAAACATGTTTGTGCGAATGCCCACATTCAGGGAACAGCTCGCAGAAAGAAGAAGGTGGTCCACAGAACAGCAACCGCAGATGACAAGAAGCTACAGTTCTCCTTAAAGAAACTCGGTGTGAACAACATCTCCGGCATTGAGGAGGTGGGGCATAAATCACTCTTGAGTTATCCCTTTGCTTGTGATTTTTCTTACAGATTGTCATTTTTATCACTAAGAATGGGAAATCTGTTTTGATCGGTTCCAGGTCAACATGTTTACAAATCAAGGAACAGTCATCCATTTCAACAATCCCAAAGTGCAGGCCTCCCTCGCAGCCAACACCTTCACCATCACCGGCCACGCTGAGACCAAACAGCTGACTGAGATGCTGCCAGGCATCTTGAACCAGCTGGGAGCAGACAGCTTGACGAGCCTCAGGAGACTCGCCGAGGCTCTGCCCAAGCAAGGTCGGTAGCCTCAAGTTATAATGTAGCGTGTGGTTGACCACACTTTAGACTCTGAGCATGTTTAGTCAGACTTTTAGCGGTTTTCAGATATCCACTTGTTTCTGTTAATCTGACACATTTTATGGTATCAGCTTCATGTCTGCTTGCACAGCTATTTTTTGTAAGAGTCAACGTTTCTAATGCATAGAAACTGTCAGCCAACCTACAGTAAATGGAAGAATCCTTACTAGCAGTCAGACGCTGAGTCAGTCGTCAACGTCTGACTGCTTGTAAGCTGTCAATCATACAGTGTGGTTAGCTCTGATGGTACTGTACTTTAACCCCAGAACAATAATTTGCAGTTTTTAACACCACCACTTACATCTGGTGACACCAGTATACCGAATAAAACATACCTCCCATCAAATTAAATACAACAATACATAGCAAACTAAAGTCTGAATGCATATCTGAGATTACAGGTTCACGTCTCTCCTGCAGCTTGTTCTGCAGTTTCAGGTCTGTTGCAGAGTGAAAATGCAATAGTTCTAAAATCTGACTGCAGTGAAGACCACATCAGTGACAACAGAATAAGAAGACTAGCTGTTAATGTTTGTAATCTGTGTTTTGACAGAGTTTCCACAGCAGGCGAAGCTTTTTTGTTGCTGCTAGCTGTTCCTAGAAGTCCTGTATGGTTTTTTATTTTTAATTTTTAAACCTGCTGCAGCAGACGGCAACACAATCCATCCATTAGCCAATTGAGATTTCCTTATATTTACATATTGCACAACAACAGTAATTTAATTTATTTGTAATATCATAGAACATGAAGACAGGATAGATCAGGGTAACTACATGCAACATTGTGTACTTCAGACTGATGAGCTGTTACAGCTGTGGGATTGATTCACTGCATCTAATTAAATTCATCCATCCATTCTCTTCCGCTTATCCTTATCAGGGTTACGCGGGGGCTGGAGGCCATCCCAGCTGTTATAGGGCGAGAGGCAGGGAAGACCCTAGGCGGGTTGATACTCTTATCACAGGGCTAACGGAGAGACAGACAACTGTTCTCACTCAAATTCACACCTATGGGCAAATTAAACTCATCCAATAATCTAACCCAAATAATTTCATGTCTTTGGACTGTGGGAGGAAGCCGGAGTACCTGGAGAGAACACACAGAGCTCCACATAGAACAACCCCGGCCAGATGGTGGATTCAAATTTAGAACCTTCTTGCTGTGAAGCAGCAGTACTCTGTTTTGCTTGTACCATATTGAACTAGCACGGTGGATAGTTTGGTCCGTGTCCTGGTAAAGTCTCAGTGAAGCCATGAAGAATGCTATCAGTGTGATGGAGTGATGAAGCCAGCTGTGTCTGAAAAAGGCTTTGGTTTAGTTTGTGGCTACTCTAAGGCTTCTCACAGATCTGTTCTCTTCTTACAGCTGCAGATGGAAAAGCGCCAATTGCTGCAGTAGAAGAAGAAGATGATGTTCCAGGTGAGCAATTTTCATATGTTGAATCCAAGTGTCTGAGCAGTTTGCTCCACCACTCAGAATCAAAGACCAGCCCGACATTTCTCGAGAAAAATCTGTTTGCCTCACATTACAGATTTTTTGCGGTTCTGTTTGGAAATCCTGCTTTACACTTGTCATTTATTGCTGCAGGATTTTTTTCTTCTTTCTTTCTGTTAGCTAAAAAAAAAAGAAAAGAAAAAATCATGGTGGGTTTGCTTTTCTTTCTGGCTCATAAAAAGGGGTCATGTGAAGGGGACTCATCAGTTACTTTTGACAATGGTGCAGTGCTGGGTTTTGTTTGAATCTCATGTTCTTTGTTTATAGGATTGTAAGATTCAGTTTGCTTTTCTTTGTGAAGAAAATGGACCGAGCACATGAGGTTGCCATTACAATAATCTCAGCTCTTTTTTTTTTTTTTCCCAGGGCTTCTCTCCCTCCAGCTCGAGCTCTCACTAACGTAACAAACGATTACATATGTACTCAGCAGTTGAAGCCCGATGGCTCAGGGGTTAACATCCATTGCCATCACATTGTTTTTGGAGTTAAGGATTTCTTTTTGTTCTCTCACTGAAGGAACATGTTTGCTCAGACCTTTTGAATTGTTTCCATTTGAACCCCCGACCCTCTGAGCTTTGAGTTGGATAGGTGGGTTTCTCACATTTCACGGGGTAATTGGAGCCAACTTTTTGATGCCCTTTGCTGTCATTTTTACAGCTGCTTTCAGTAGTTATAAGGGCCTCATATGTCGAGCACATTGCCGTCTGTGTGTAGGAGTGGGAGAGATGAGCAAAGAATTGCATTACACCAAGTATCCTGTTTCACATAAACACACACTTCCTGAATTGTTCTCCAGCACCTTTGAGTCACTTGTGCAGATGGGATACGCATTTACTTTCTTCCCCAATCAATCAATTTAATGTCTAATCTTTTGTTTCAGATCTGGTGGAGAATTTCGATGAAGCATCCAAAGATGAGGCCAACTAGAGGGACTGGGACTCCAGAGTGTTGAAACTTGACAGGACCATGTGGGGCACAAGATGTAATGTCCTTTTTCAAGGGGTGGAAAATGTAACAGTTAAAGTACCTGAGAAGATGGAAAAACACGTCAAATTCTTTTTGGCTTGTGAGCATTCTGTAACATGTGCAACACCTGAAAGTACTTGCATACTCTTAAGTGAATTATTTTTGAGTAACTTTTTTTTAGAATAGTACTCTGTATTAAATCTCGAGTAGCAGTATTTCCATGAAAGGTATTTTAGTACTCATTCCACCTCCTCTTTGCCACCAGACTTCCTTAATGCTTGTGCTGTGTGGTCAGAGTGAGAGTGTTTGTAAAAATGTGGTGTTAAAGGCTCACGTTGTCCTTCTGTTTCCTCCATGTTACTGACCCCTTAAATCTGTGGCCTCCCTAAAAACACCATATCTGGAATAAACCTTTGCTACTGTCAATAAATAGCTAAAAATTCAGTTTTTGTTTTTTGTGTTCTTGGTCAAGTACAGTTCTACAATTGAAACACTGCAACTGCTCTTCTGTAGCCATTCCCAAACTCTCTGTGACTGGTACTCGTGGTCTTTGATCAGTGGTTGTTGATCAATGGTCATGAGAATTTGCATAATTATGATTAAGGAACTGACCTCCCAGCCCATTGTTCCTTCACTGGGCTGGTTTCAGTCATTATGCAAATGTACTGTTTAAGATTAGGGAAACCTGCAGTCAGCTGAGACTGAAGAAGTCACTTGGATGAGTGACGAAACATTTCTCCCACAAAACGCTACGTCCAGATGAACAGAATCAACTTTTGGAGATTTACTTACCTGGATGATTGAGAATGCATCAAGAAGATGCTCTTCTGTAGATTTGGTGAGAAACCATGAACTGCAGGTTGAACTTGTAACATCGTTTAGTTCCTGTAAGGTCAGGGCAGTTGCAGACATTCTTTGTCTGCAGATAGTAACAGGGAGGTAAAGTATTCAGTAAACTTGAGGTATGTTCCACAATTTACACTTATGAAAATGAGGGTAAGAGGCGTGTTCTTGCTGGGCGAGTAACCAGGGCTGTCAATCCCTCAGTTTTACTTTATGGTCAAGAAAATGGAGAGGGTGAGTGTGACCATAAGTGTATATTAGAATACAGTTATAACAACTGCAGAATTATCTATGATGATAGAAATATGAAAAAGTCTTGAATCATTATATTTTGCTTCTAAGGAACCATACTTTAATTTTGGTTGAGTGACAAAACAGTGTAGCACACAGTTTTTAAGTACTTTACTAGCAGCCTGTTGCAAACACTTTCCCCCCTCCATTTGTTTAGTTGTCTCTATGGAAAATGCCAAAAATAACAATTTAACAGACAGAAAATTGTATTTTTCAAGCATCACTATGATTCCCAGAGACCTTGGATGAAGTGTAGTGTGCCCCTAAAGGAATCAGGGAATCTGGACAAGTGGAGGACAAAAGAAATGGCATGCTTAACACATGAGCAGTATCCAGTCCCAATACAAGATCAAAGATATGCATCTGGTCCTTTGTGTCATCCATCTACTTTTCACTGATGCCTCATCAGACATGGTCAGTATGGAAGGTTGACTTGACAAGCCATACTTAAACATGATCACTATATACGGAGGAGATCGGGATTTTGATTTCACCATAAAGAACACATCTGGAAACACGGTCATAATCATGGATAGGCCTCCCCAAAGTCCAGACCGCAACAGGGGTCAGCAGTCTGGGATCATCAGCCAACATCCAAGGAGCTTTGGGTGTCTTTCAAGAAGCTGGAGAACTATTTCTGAAGATTACTTTAAAAAACAGAAGCTCCCCTAAGAGAGTTCAGGCTAAGCACAAAGCATGTTGAATAGAAAACGGTTTTGAAAAGCCACAACAACAAAGATGGTTAAAGATAATTTAGACAATGCTTTAAATAAAAGACCGACGGCCTTTGAAGATGGCTGCTGAAGAGTCAAGATTTGCTTCAAGGACTGTTTTAGCTAAAACTTAGGTCAGAGAGGCAATGCTGATTTCACAATTTTATTTTTAAAAAGCCATTTTCCAGTTTTGTGAGTAGCTGATGCTGCAATCTGCATGAGCAATTTTGGAAATACAGCATTTTGGATACAAAGAAACAGCAGCTAAATGAAACAATGTGTCAAATTAATTAAACTTGGCAAAATAACAATTTTACCAGCCATTAAGGTGTGCGTTAAAATGATCCAGGGAGGGGGCATCCCAGCAAATCCCCCCCCGGTTACAATGGCTCAGTCACATCCAGACCTCAATCTGGCTGAAACGCTGTGGCAGGAGCTTAAAAGAACCGTTCATAAACGAATGTCTGCAAATCCCAATAACTGAAGTAAAAGAGAACTACTAAAAGAAGAGTGGGCCAAAATTCCTCCACAGTGATGTAAGAATACAGTGATACAGAAAACAAGCACCTCAAGTTATTGTTGCAAACAGTGGATCTACAAGCTTCTGAACATGGGGTGTTCTGTTTTTCACAAGACTCCACAAAGTCCTGTTAAAACGTATTTTCACGACTGTACCTCTCATTTGTAATGAGTATGTTTTTATTTTTCCCCCATTACATTTTATTTGCTTGTTTTTTTTCAGAGCATTATGGCCACTGAAGCATGAAACTCAAATTTTCTAGTGCTTTTCAGGGTAAAATTGTTCAACACAGGCTTTTCTTCCCATCTTATGAACAATATAAAAAGAAAAGCTTCACAGAATCACAGAATGTCATGCTGTTGGTTGTACTTTCAAAAGTTTGACATTTAAGTTAAACTGCTTAACTTCATTGACTCTTGCACATCAGATAAATATCTATAATAAACAGTATTACTATTGTCATACAAACAGCACCACAGCATTTTTGTGTCATTTAATTTTTGTGTGAGGTCTTTTAAAATTCACAACACATCTGAACATTTCGTATCACTACACAAAGAAACAAACTGACATCATAACAGTTTAAATTATTAAAATAAATAAATTCAATACATCAAACACAAAGATCTTCAGTAAACGGACCACAAACAGCTTGACAGAGTCATAAAATCTCGTGCCTCAGAAATATCCCGAGTTCAGAGAGTGCGAACGTGAAAATATTACAATAAAATAATGTAATAGAAGATAATAGGTTAGTCTTAGAACACAAAGATGGGCAAAAGGTATTAAATTACAACAACGTAAAAAGTAAGCTCTTTGCAACTTTAGAGCAAAGTCAATTCCAGTCTGCACTGCTCATTTGGCAACATACTACAGGTGGAGGAGAGTGCGTGGTGGGCTGTAGTGAAGAACTCAGCATGCTCTTTGACAACCAGTCAGTGTATAGTGATTGGATATGCAACTCCACAGTCAATGTTGAAAAAAGGAAAAAAGTGCAGAGCTTAACAGCTTTTAAGAGGGTTAAAACTGATGTTTCACACACCACAAACCTTCACTTGCATCATGAATAATATGAAGCTTATGAAATATCTCTTAAGGGAACAAAATACTCCTGCAGGCTGACAGACTGGCCATGCTACATGATTATCCAGCGCACAGAAGCATCTCTTCAGTATTTATTCTCCCTCAAGTGCAGCAGTTCACTCTCTGATCCCCATCAATAACTTTAGCAAGTGTGCCTCCATCACCTGTTGAACTAAACAGAGAAACATACACTGAGGTCATTTAACTGAACTGTGGGCTTTGTGGAAACAAATCCTGATTACTGCGATAGTTTATAAGCATTAAAAGTGAAAATTAAGAACAATATTCACATTTCCATGTGACCATTCTTCACTCTGAGAAAGGAGAAAGTGTGGATCTGGCAGGAAAAGGCGACTTTGTGTTTATCTTAGCAGACTTTTACTTTTTTGGAAACAGCAGCACTGTCAACAAATTCTTATCGACTCAAATCAAGTTTTACAGGACAAACGCCAGGACAATTACTAATTTTAGGCTTTGGCAGCAGGACAAAATCTAATTTTTTTTTTTGGTAAGTTCATGCCATGACCGAATGATTCATTATAGGAAAAAAAAGAAATCTCAAATCTAATTTCGCTGTCCTCAACCCATAAGGTATCAGATTTTTACAGAGGGAATATGCCTGTATATATTTCAAGCATCCCCCTCAGAAAAAATCCACCACAAACTATGTGGCAGATATGGAACAACAGCGCTGTGCTGACCAGTTCCAGCACATGCGGTGAGTGGAAGATGGCCTCCTCCACTGCATCCATGAATCTTCTCTGTGGTCTTCCTCTTTTCCTCCTGCCTGGCTGCTCTATATTAAACATCCTTTGTTCAATTGATCCACTACCTCCCCTCTGCATGTCCAAACCCTACTCTCTCTAAAGATATTAGCTGAACAGGTAAAATGAAATGAAGTCATAACAGTGCCTGGTTGTTTATTCCTTTAAAGAAACACACACACACTCTCTCTCATTTTTTTATAAATAAAAGTATAGTTCTGGGGTTTGTGCAGCAAACTCTAAAGTTAATACATATTAGAATACAGTCAGGGTTACTCCAGAGACAACTTGATTACTGAGACTGTTCCAGCATGTTTCTCAGCTGTGTTTTGCTCTTTTTCTCACATACCATTTCGGTGGCCCATGGCTACAGCCATGTCCATTGCATTGAAACCCGAATCCGACTCTATGGTAGGATCAGCACCGCTCTCTGAAAGACATGCAAACATACAAAATTTCAATCACTGTACATCATTCTCTGTTAGAACTCAACACAACTGCTTTGCTTACCCTTTAACAAATATGAACACAGATGTTCCTGCAAGTCAAAGATTTCTGCTCACCTAACAAGATTTCAACACAGCGCACATGGTTGCCATGGACAGCGTACAGCAGAGGGGCTCCTCCATTCTAAAAACCCACAGAGATAACAACATTTAATACCAAGATCACAAACTGAGCGGAGGCGCTACTTTAAACTAACTTTTTTATAATAACATACCCAGTCATATTCATTGACATCGACTCCACAGTCAATGAGCATTTTCACAATATCTGTGTATCCCTTACTGCAAGCCAAGGACAATGCACTCTCTCTCCCTTTGGCTAGGAGGTTAGGGTCAGCACCCTACAGCGAAAAGTGTCACAGGATGACAAACAGACAGTAAGTGAAGAAGTCTTGCTCGGATATAATAAACATATAAACAGAATAAAAAGTTTTCAATGAATATTCCGTACATTTTGAAGCAGGAACTCCACCACAGCGATTTGTCCGTGTGCAGCTGCCCACATCAGCGGGGTGAAGCCCTCCTCATCTTGGAGATTGATTACAGTCTCTGTTAAAATAAATATGGAAAATAAAACATAACACTGTATTTAATCTCCATCTACTGGTCTAATTACATTTTTAAACTTTATATTTTGCATACACAAGTAATTATCAAGATTCAATATCTGCTGGTAAACTGATGAAGAACTGTTGTTTTTCTCTTTTATGTGAAGGTGAATTCA